TACATATACCCCACTCCGGTTAGGATGCCCCTTCTAGAATGTCGAACTCGCTGCTTGCTTGATGTGTGACATAGGAGCTTACAATTCTGTCACGGAGACGGTCTCATTATTCTGCACAACAATGTTAAGAGGTAGGTGTTATCACGATCCTGAATTACGGAAGGGGAGACTGGGGCACAGAGCTTTGGTTTAGCTTGCCCTGGGCTCTAGCTCGCAAGTGACTGGATCAGGCTTCAAACGCAGAAGTGCTTCCGCACCCTAGATTTTGTTTAGTCTTTATATGTGTTACCAACGTGATAGGGATAGTAAGACAATTAAATGAGATAGGATTAAGATAGTATTAAGATACCTAAATGGGGTCATGATTCAACCCTCATGGCAACATTAAATAATTCAATGAAATAAGGCGCACAAGAGCCTGGGCAGGATTCTTGGCTCATAGTAAGCCCTTGGGAAATGGATACTGTAGCTCTCGTGCTCATGTTTATCTTCTTCACCCATACCTCCCCGCCCCCCAAAACTGTATTAATGACTTGCTCATATGTTTTGTTTGAAATGCACAATTTTTGGCAATATTTCCTTGCTGGGGAATCAGTCGCCTGAGTAGTGGTTTCTTTCTTAAACATTGCTGGTTACTTCCCCAGACTTCTTTGGAAAGATGAATGCGGAAGGAATGCCCGCCGAGCCCGGTGGCCCGGTGCTCCTGCAGGAGGTGGCTGGGTTGGCCAGGGGCACGCGCAGCCTCCCACTCACCCCGTCACCCGGGCAGCACCCACCCCCCAGACCCCCCGTGGGCCCAACTGGGGCCACGCGTGTGCATGTGGACTCTGCTGTCCCCAGAAACGCACGGAAGCAAAAGGACTCAGAACACCGACTCGCACGTACCTTTTCAGACTAAGCTTTTATTTTTTGATATTACAAACCAGTTTTTCTTTATTCACAAACCACTGTGATATAAACACTAATTTCTAAAGACAGATATACACGTTTTCTGGGTTTGCAGATTGCGTGATGTGTGTGTTAAGAAGTCACTATATGCCACACATAATTTTTTCCATAATTCATAATAGCAATAGTTATTTAGATAAATGAAAACATTCCAAATAAATACTGTTTAAAAAAATCCAAAATGTTCGTTTACATCTCTGACATACATTTTAAAATGACTTATTGGCATCTTGGCAGAGTGCCCAGACAAAAGGTTTTTGTAACATCGTGTGGCACTCACTTGCTCTAAATGATTTTATTAAAATTACATACAGTCATGGGGGAAAGTACAGCTCATTGATGAAAATCAAAACTGCAAATTAATTTTACTTTAACCAACACAGTAAGAAAGAATTCTATGTTTGTGATTCCAAATACACTGCAAATTCTGGATTTTTTTTTTTTTTTGACATCGGAGGCCATCAGGGGAGAGCTTTTGATTCTCCCGAGCCCCCCTGTCCCTTCCACGTTTCTCCCCTTCCGGGGCCAGGATGCCGGAGCATTTTAATTGAGTGTTTTCTTTAAACACACCCACCGGGCACCCATGGTCCTAGCACTGTCCTCCAGGTGGGGGATTGAGAATGTCTCCGTGATGCTATAAAAACAGCCCCTCGCCCCTCCCTCCCCCACCCACATCAGTCTGCTGAACAGAACGTCTGACATGCTTGCTTCTGGCTGCTAAGCAGGTCCCCTCCCCCCCGCTCCTCTCCAGATCCTGAGCATCTGTCTTAGATATCGAAGCTACAGAAACTTTGTTTTCAAATCTTGTGAAACTTTATTGATGGTTTAATATCCAACCGATCTTACTGCATGCACATAGGATGACAAGAGAAAGCTGGATCACAAACACTTTTTTTTTTTTTTAAGTTTTGTTTGGTTTTGTTTGAAAGCAGAGTTGTTAAAGCAGATTGGCAGGTTCACAGCGGTGAGTTGATAATTGACTGAAGGGCGTGCCATAGGACCTAGCTGTACACAGGGAGACTGACCTATGGCAGCGAAAACTACTGGAGGCGGCTGGCCGCTGTTTGTTTGTTTTTTTATTTAAATACAAAAACAGGAAGACCCGTGACAGATACCCCAACTTAGGTTAACTTGTAAACAGGACAACATGGAAAGAGTTCAAACAGAAGGAGTACAAACTGCAATTTTTCCGCTGTGTCACTCTGGCCCTGCTGCTGAGGCGGGTGGGGGGCGGAGCTTTGCTCTTGGGCGGGGGCAGGGGGCGAAGAGGGTGGAGCCTACTTTTTTTTTTTTTTTTTGCTTCCTTCTGACAAGTGTCCTGGGCCTTGGAGACAGAACTAAAGATACTGGTTTGAGAGAATCCTTGGGGACCAGGCAGAGGAGGAGGACCGGCTCTCACGGACAGAAAAATTGCAGATTGCTCACACAACACAGTCATGTTTCAAAAAGTACCAAGCTGATGAAAATACCATGATTATCTCTACTCAATGATTGCAATACTTGTAAAATGCTTCTATAAATCCGAATATTATCATGTAATTCCATAAAAATTATACATCTGTCTCTAACAGTTCTACTTAGGCTAAAACTAAAGCTTCATAGACTGTTTCTAGAACTTAACAACTCCACTGCACAGATGTAAATTTTATACATTTTTTTTTAACTGGTACAAAGAATTTAAGTTTTTATTACTTTCTTTTTTTGGAAAAAAAGAAAAAAATAGAAACAGTGCTTTTTATCACCTTTTTATTAATGTTATTTTTTTCCCTCCCATAATATAAAAGTCAGCAATGATATCAATAATTTATTATACTGGAAGAAATATAAAAAGAATGCTTGTTGATGGCCTAACTACCAGTTTTTGCCTAAATAACTAGCGGCTGGTTGAGAAGCTGAATACTACCAGGTGGAATGGTTTAAAGGGTGGGTTTGCACAGCTTCATTCAACTTGGATGCACAAAGTGCTTTTAGAAGCACCCCCTTAACAACATAACCTTTGGCTTGAACTCAATGAGTAACTTAGAACCGCTGACATATGATTGTTGGTGCAGTGGGTCGTTTGGATTCGTCAGTTACTATTTCGTGTTTCCTTTTAGCCCAAATCCCGGTCCCCATCCCCTAAGACCCTCCCACCCTTCTCCCGCTCGTAAAATAAAATAATGCAGATGCAGAAAAAAATGACTATTGTAGTCACTTACACTCTTCCCGGACAGCTGATAACCCCAGTAGCTTAAGATTCAGCATATATAATTCATTTACATGATATAGCACTCTGGATATGGCCCTAAACCAGTTTTTATTCATAGCTAGCGTCTCTCTATTTCAACCACAGAAACTCCTACAGCCAGCAACCAAACTACGGAACCTTCAGAAATTAAAGACCCACAATATTAAAATACACAGAACAAAATATCTGAGGTATAAGATAAAAAATGTAATTTTTTTCCTTTTTTTTTTTTTTTTTAATTTTTAGAGCTGCTAAAATGATGTACTACTGCGTGTATTGCAATACCCAGGCCTCAGAAAGCTTCCTCTCTCCCCACATTGGAAGGTTTTAATGGTTTTGTCATTTAGTATGGAGCAAAACGGTTGTATCCCCCTCGGTATATACTAGCCTGCAATGAAGAAAGAACGAGACCCACATCATCAGCATGGCTCCTAGTCTTGGCATCAGTCAAGGGTGCAAAAGCATTCTGAAACAAAGCAATTTGAGGGGTGTGTTTTTTACATTTTCCTTTTGCAACACGTGGATCATCAAAAAAAGACTAATGTGAAAAATAGACACTCAAAAGCAACCGAAATGGAGGCACCCGCCACCCATCCCAGGTCATTCTCGGAGAACTAACAGCAGGACCAGGCCTGACCTCCCCCAGTGGCTCTTTCTGCAGAAAATCCCTGCAAGACCAAATTCCGTCGGCCAGTCCTGCTAGAGAAAGACTCTGACACGGGCTGGGCAATGGAAGGGTTTGCCCTGTCTCATTTTGTTTGCTTGTTTGATTCACTAATGTGACATTCCGCCAGGCAAAGCTCAGTCTACACCAAGAGGCCGAACGTAGACAGCTGATGGGATGCAGCGATTCAACTCTCCTTTCCAACACATTCCTCAAGCGGGCTAGGTGTTGAGGCAGAGTTGCTGAGTGCAAAATCAGGATGAAAATTTAAATCAACTGCTTACTTGACTTGGCTCAACAACCTGGATGGAATTTGCTCTTGAGAGGGGAGCTTGCAGATGAATTGCTTGATGTAACTGAGCTTGTGCAAAATAATACGTTTCCAAATCATGGCTGAATCTCTATGACCAAGCTCCAGTGACTTGTCTGGTCATGGCTCTAGATGGCTATGAGGTGGCACTTAACTATTTCCCTTTTTTTTCCTAAAAGTACTGGCGATTCAAATGAATGCCTATGGGGATTTATTTTTAGGATAAGGACTGATATTCTTGATCCCAAGCAGAAAACTGCATGCCAAAAGCTTTGTAATGAATGCATACGCTCTCACGTGATGGGCAAGTCTTACTGTACTCAAGAGTTTTTAGTGCATAGAAGTTTGAACAAGTACAGGCAAATTCACCCCACCCTCACCTCCCGCTTTTGCCCTCCCCCGCCCCCACCCTTCCCAAAACAAAAACCCAGGCTCCCCCCACCCAAAAACAAAAGACAACTCCCAAACCCAGCTGATTCCTTCTAATTAATTCCTTATGTACTAGGCACACACACAAAGTGTGCCCCTCTCTCTATTTTCTTTCCTGGGCGACTATGACTTTAAACATGAATTGTAATAGGGGAGGAGAGGCAGTCAGATTCTCAGCTGCCTGACAGCAGAGGCCTGGAAGTGTGCAGCTTAGCTCCTCTGAAGTCTGTGCTGGGGCTGGAACCTTGGGGCTATGTGAATGAGCAGCAAGGGAGGGAAAAAAAAAAGAAAAAAAAAGTTCTGCATTGACACTGCATTCTGTTAGTGATGGATTTAATTATCAAAATGACTAATTATTCCATTAAGGTAAGTGCTCTGCTAGGTGAGACTTGCAAAATTAGAAATATAATAACTTACATGCACTACATTGCCAAGAAATTAAGACATTTATCAAGTTTACTGGGAGGATTAATGTGGCATTTTAGCTGCTGTTAGCACAAGAGACAAATTCAATTAAGGGAAAGTGCAAGGACGTCGACCGTCAACCCATACTAAGGTCCCAGCGGGGGGGAGGGAAGGGAGGAGGAGGGACTGGTACTCACCATGGCACCAACGCTGTAGGTGGGGGCTGGAGCAAGTGTGTGGTGGTAGGGGTCGGCAGCATAAACTCGTCCGTAACTGGAAGGAGAACACGGGTGAAGATTAATCCATAGTATGCAGTTACAAAGTCACAATCACAACCGTAAAATACAAAAATACCAAGACAGTGGGGAGGGGCCCTATTCTTCTTCAGAGACGGAACACGTTCCCATCTGCCACATAACATGAGAGAAGTCCAACTGTGTCCAACACATTCTTCTGTCCATTTACTCTTGCTGGCGAGATAATAATGCATTTTCCTGTCTCGGAGAACCGTGTCTACACTGCTCTCGGGGCTACCACGGAGCCTGAGGTGGGCAGAAGAAACAACTTGAAAGAGTGGTTTTCGAAGCCCAGTACCCACAAAGAACATGTCTTTTATTCTCAAGAGAGACGGTCTTTTCTCCTAATTTAGCTGTTACCAGTCAAGCAAGACAAGGTAGGTCACAAAGGGTAAAGCGGCCCGGTCGGTGCAGTGAGGGTCTGACATCTCAGAAGAGAAAATAACAGATGTACTTGAACAGGAGGACCGCTGAAGGGTCTGTAGGACCTTTCCCCCCACGCCCCCCACTCAAGAATTAGTCTGATTTGATTTTGATCCTATCACCCCAGAACTTCTACCTCATCAATCAATGGTCAGGTTCTGAGAAGGGACACGTTTTGAACAATATTTCTTGAGGACGAGATCTCATCTTTGAGTTTTTCTCTGCCTCTCTCCCATCCTCCTCCCTCCACTGCCATGCCTTCCAGGACAGGCTTTGGAATAAAAACAAAGAGATGGATGCCTGCTGAATGTCTGGGACTGAATGCAGCAATAAAGCAGAAATTAAGGTTCAGGGAGTTTAAGTTACTTGTTCAAGGTCACAGGGCCAAACGGAGTCAGAGCTGATCCTTGAATCTCTCAGGGCACCCTGTATGCTCTTTCCGTGGTGTCTAGCACCCTCACTTGAATGATCTGCCAGGTATCTTCTTGGAGACAGTTTGAACATTGGCCTTTTGGTAATGATCAGAGCTGAGGTGCATTAAGCTAGGTTAGGTTCCCTGGAAGAAGAGTCTGAAATGGAGATTCTTATGCACATGCTTTGTCGAGGAGTGCTTTCAAAAGGAGGGCAGACAGGCAAGCTGGTTGGAGAATGAGAAAATAGAGAAGCAAGGATATGGTCTGAGCTGGAGACTAACTTCTACCTGATCCTGTGAACTGCACCCCAGAGTTGATCCGCCCATGGAAGTTAAGCATGAGCTATGGGCTTCCATAAGGAATGGAGGATAACTTCGGGGTTAAAATGACTCTCTTTGGCAGTGGGTGGTTCTCTGAAGGAGGGAGCAGCTGTGCGCCATTAGCAGCCAATGCTCACAGCAGCTGGGGGATGCGGGTACCGGCCACTACATGGGATGTATGTCCATTATCAATGGCTTGTGACTCTTGGACTTTCCTTTAGGGAATGAAGGAACAAGGCAGGAAGAGATGGTTTGAGCTCACCTCCCATCTCTTAAAGTCTCATTTGCATGTATTTATATTCCTTTCCTTTCCTGTCTTTCCCCCATTTTCCTTTCAGTCTTCTTTCTCATGATTGGAGGATAAGAATGTACTAGATGGACGTCATGGAGTCTGGGACAGTGGGAAGAAGCTTGGGTGAAGGTTTTTAACTCTTAGGGTCCGAATTAGACCCCAAATGGAAAAGAAATATTTGATTATACCAAGTTCTCCTCAGCTGTGTCCTACTCCTAAAGCCTCCTTGCCTATTTCAAAGGTCACTGAGCTCAGATAACCTAGATGAGGCCTTTTGCTTCAACACACAGTACACAGTATTCTCCTGATCCTCCAAAGCAGGGACATGAATAGATGTTTCTTTTTTGAGGTGACCCTCTCAGGGAAACTAACAGTCAACCCCTTCTTGCTTTTCATTCTTTGGGACACCCTTGAGTGATTTGGCTCAAGCAGATGGCTTTCAGTCAACGACGCTCCCTCTCTCTGGGAAGAAGAACAGATATAAGTCCAAGCCAGAGGGTGTATTAAAAGGAGGAGGAGGATGAAGTTTTTGAAGAAATCTTATATTCACAGAGGTCACCCATGAAAGTTGGGCCTCTGCCCACATAACTAGAAGTAGAGGTGAATAGCGGTAAAAGGACATGATATATGACTTTGGTGCTGATTTTCATTTTGTGAGAAAAGAGTCTGTCATTGGTCTAGAGAAAAAAGAAACCACTAATAGGATTATTTTAATGCACTTTCACCCAGCAAAGCTGGTCTTACGAACAAGACATAAAATGCAAAGATAAACCGAAAATCCTTGGGAATTTAGTAAATGATGCCAGAGCATCACTTATGATGATATTCCTTCAAAACGAGTATGAAAATGCCAATTTCAAGAAATTAATTTTTTTAGAATTTGGGGAATGGTTTTACTGTGGCAAAAATTTCCTTTTGAGGAGATAACATATTGGTAGTCTGAATGCATTCAACGAGAACGTAGCTCCCACCTCTTCCCTCCACGTACTTTAATGGCAAATTCTTATTTGCCTATATAACACTGGGCAGAGCTTCAACCTTTGTGGAAAACCCAAGGTAACAATTTGGCAGTACTCTTTTCCAAGGCAAAAGAAAAATACAGCAGCACTGAACTATTCCTCGTAAATGAGCGGGCTCCTTTTCTCCTCGGGGTGACCTCTACCTTCAGAATCCGATGGTTTTATTATGATTAATAAATTTCATTTCCACGGAGGAAAAGGGACCATGTCAGCTCAAACTGAAAGCAAGGAGGCTTCTTTTCAAATGCTAATTTCTAAACACGCCCTTGTGTGACACTACAGTTTAGACACAAGGTTATTAGGGAAGACGTGGACTGGAGCGCGGCTCTTGCGGCAGAAATGCCAGGCACGTCAGCGACCTAACGTCCTCAGAGCTGGCTAAGCACAGCCCAGAGGAAAGATGGCAATTCCCAGGGACCTCGATGGGAGTGATGGGGAAATGTCTTAACGACCGCCATGTTATGAGTGACCTACACATATCATCACCCTCCACGCCACCCATCCCTTTGGCAAAGTGGGCAGTGATGCAGTCAGGTCATGATGCTTCCATGTCCCCACATCCCATCCATCAGAAATTATAGATGAACTCTTCCAGGTGTCTACCTGACTCCATTCACGCTATCACCACCCTAACATAAGCCACCAGGATTTCATCAGAACCAAATCCACAACAGCCTTAAGTCTTGTCTCTTTGGTTCTACTCTTGCCTCTACAAACTACCAGCCACTTAACCTCTGTAGCTAACCCATCTACCATCTATCTATCTACTGTCCTATCCTGTCTATCCATCCATCATCTATCTAGTTAAATATAAATCTAAACATATCACTTCCATGCTTAAACCCCTTCAGTGGTTTTCCATCGATCCCAGAATAAACCCAAACTTGCATGAGTTACCCCTGCTCGTCTTTCATTCCTCTCTTCCTACCCTCTGCCCCTTGCTCATTGTGCTCCACGCACACTGGCCTCATTGCTACTCCGTGAACACGTGCAAATTCATTTTCTCCTTACAGTCTTGGCACTTGCCTGCCCTTCATGTAACGTAGCAAGTCTCTTAACAATTTTGTTTACTTATCTCCCTACCTGGTTATTGACCCGTCCCGCCCCTGCCAGGAAGGTCAGCCCCATGGGAGGTGGGGCCAAGTCTATTTTTTTCGCCTTTTTTTTTTTTTTAATCTCCAGCATCCACCCAAGCACTGGCCACAGTGCAGGTAAACAAAGGGCCAAGCCAACGTCACTGCGGGAGTAAAGGCACCAAGAGGGAGGAGTAAACAGGAGAGAAGACACTTGCACCCGTCCTTAGGATTCTGTCAGCAGCCAAGATTCTTCCAGGTAGGCTTTCTGAAGATTCTAGGTCAGCTGTTCCCAGAGACATTCAAAACCCTTCAAGACACTCAGAAAATAAGTTTCTGGGGACTCTGGGAATACAGAGTGTGTAATTTCACATCACCGCTGAGAGTTCACAGAACACCGGCCAAGATGCCATCAAGCTCATCAAAGCCCTTTAGGGAAAAGCCAACCAAACAATGAAATAGAAGATAACAGCTTTCCTGGTGACCTCACCATGGCTTGCAGCCATGCCATCATGAGCCCACCTTTTTTCGACCTTAGCAACAAGTGAAAACCAGGAGGCCACCCATGGTGCTAGGGAGAGCACAGGGCATGGGGCAAGAAGATCCAAGTTCAAGTTCTGCCTTTGCAATGTCCTTTCTCAAAGACTAGGCAAGTCGCTCTCTCTGAGCCTCATTTTCCTGTTCATGAAGTGGTATTGTTGGGTCTAAGCCTTGTCTAATTCATAAAGTGCATGGAAAGAAACCAGGTACATTTTAGAGTCCAAAGCAGTCTACAGGTAGGAGATTACGATGCAGGGGATCTTATACAGAGTTTGCCAAGCCAGGCTCTCACTCCTGCCTAGACTTCTGGTCTGTAGAGGCAAGGGAAAGATTCTCTTCTAACATGATTGCATGTAGCTCTAGCAGTCAACTTACAGATACTTGTGGAGGTAAGCACTATCTAATTTATGAGTTACAGATGTAGTTAGAAGTGCTGTGTTTGAGCCTAATGTTATGTTGGAGTAAAATGAATAACTATGCTGCCCGTTGAGTGAGAAACGAGAACCTGTGTTTATTAAAGTGCTTCGTGAACTCTACTGACAGATGCAAATATTACTTATTATTAAGATCTGAATTTAGTTGAAACAAGCTGGATTATAATGAAATACAGTAGAGCTGTGTTGGTACCCACACCAGGATTCTAGCGCGGCGAAGTGATTTTCTTACAGGGACATAGTGAGAACACTAATTTCACTCTCTGTATTTTACTCGGTATATCTCAGTTAAGAGCCTTTATGCCTCCTCAGACCTTTATTCTTCCTGTAGCATCACTTCCCCATGCCTCCTGTCCCAGAGATAGCGGGGAAGACCCTGGGGGAGAAGGGGAAGCGAAAAACCCTCACCCCCCAGATGAAGTTCCCGGTGGCGTGTAGCTCTCCTGGACAGCCGCACTGCAGC